GCGGGGCGTGTCCTGGGAGAGCACGAGTGACTCCTTGCTCGCCCGTTGGGGCTGCGTGGAGCGGTGTCAGTAATGGGCCTGGGGCGCCGAACGCGGTGGTGATCGTGGTCGAGGAGTAAAGTGTAGGTCTATATAAGGCTGTATAAATGGCGCGTTTTCGGGTGCGACCATCCCTTGTCGCCCTGACGTGGGCCATTCCGCCCCGCCAGCTCCCGGCCGAGAGTTATTACCCTCGGGAAGTGCTTGCTGCTTGGTTCCTCTGCAGCCCTCCCTGACGGCAGATAAAACGGGACAGCAGAGGAGGCCCCGGCCTGTGCAGGGCCGAATCCGGAGAACGGAGCTGGGGAGGGGCCCCACTCCCACCGCGGCCCGTGATGGGGCCGACGTGTGGCTACCATTGCTCTCAAGAGGCTCCCGGAACCCCCAAGACCTTTACTTTTCCGGCCTCAATTTTTGTCAGTACCACCCCCCCATTTGTCTGCCTTTCCTCCGCACGTGGACACATGACCCAACCACGCTGAATTTTCAGTTAAGACCGCTGTGGTCTCTCACCTTTGGCTTTGGTCCAAAGCCTGCCTTCTGTGTGGAACCCAGTTTTCTCTCCACCTTTCGCTTGCCGAGTACTGGCTCTTTTGTTCAGGACTCTGCCCAGGTTAGATTTCTTCCCCCCGAATTAGGTGTCAGCCTGATGTGAGCCTCTGTTGTTCTGTGTGGTAGTGTCCTCTAGACCTGATTAGTCCTGGGGTGGGGCACTTGTGAATTGCTTACTCTTATTGCCTGGCTGGCTACCAACACGCAGTAGGTGTTCAAGTATTTCTTAAAGGACGGAAATCAGTGTCATACCTCAGGGTCAATTTAATACTGCAGAGCAGCCTTGCTGCGGTAGAGAGAGATGTGTGATGGCCCAGGGGTCATGCAGGCTGCTCTTCTGGGGTTTGTAGTTGATGTTCGTGGTTTTTGTTTTTGGTAGCTCCCAGCCAGTGTCCTCACTCACAGTGAACCACGGCAGTGACTCCTTGGCTATAAGGTTTTCTTCCGTTTTCCATCCTGGTCTCTGAGGGCTGCAGCTCAGGGTAGAGTCAAGGGCTTTTCAGTCGGGTCAGATTTGTGCCCTGACTGCTCTTGAACTAGCAGGGCGGCCCAGAGAAATGGCGACGGGGTGGGTGGGAACCTCCCTCTGTCATCTTCTTAAATGTGATTCAGGTCCCTTTATATGCCCACCTCTAAAGACAAACTGTGGGAAAAGGAAGAGTTCTTTTTGTTTTTTCCCCAGAGAGAAGGGGTCACCAAAACTCATTAGGCAGCAGGATTGGGGTGAAGCCAATTATATATCCTTATGTATCACTCTTTGTGCTGATGGTGACATTGTCACTGCAGAAAACTCACTGGATCTCAGATGCTGCCGCCAGTAACGTTGAGGGCGTCTGTGGTGTGCTGTACCTGTTCCTCACATCCAGGTACTCTGAGTGCCGGGTGCTCCAAGGGCCCTCCAAGTGCCCCTCTGGGTCCTACACTGCAGAGTTGTTTTGTGTGTGTAAATACAAGAATAACATGTAAATGAATGGGGGTTATGAGGACCACTACCATACTTACATGCCATTAGTGAAGTAAGTTTATATTACTAAGGATCCAGTTTTATCTATCTTCATCTTTTGTTTTGGAGAAGTTGATTTCTTCTGTGTGGGTTGAGGGTAGTATTGCTCTGTGGAAGGAGGAGGCCATGAGACAAGGAGAAAACACTTTTAAACAGTTTCTAATACCTAGAATGAAGACAACCTGAAAGTGTGTATTTTTCATTTGCCCAAATTTCTGAGGTTTGGGAATCCGATCTGTATCCAAGATTTAAATTAATCACAGTGCTTGGCATGTTGTGTTGCTGGATCATGGCTTTCTCACTGAAAACAAGGCCTTTCTGAAGTGCAACGTTCCTTTTTCAACTTTCACTCTTTAATTTGTTAATAACTTATTAATCAGTTAATAACTTAAACTGTTGGAAAACCATAGTGGATCCTAATTATATTTTGGGGGAAAAAACCTAAGTATGAAAGAAATAGGATGTGGCAAGAGAAACTTGGTAAAGTTAAACCAAAGTTGAAGTGAGTGTCTTTTAAGAATTTATATCCTGTTACAATAATAGGATTCTCCATTTTCCCATATGTGTGCATCACGTTAGATCTCAAGTGGGATGAAAGTTACAGGGAGGAGTGAATGTGCCCTTCTCCCCTATGGACACCCCCAGTCCCAACTGAACAGGGTAGGGGTGCAAGGTACAGGACTGTCAGGGTGCTCAGGTGATGTTGGATGGAGCACAGTCGGCCCAGGGCTCCGTGAGGAGCGGTCGCACCAGAGAGACCTCGGTGCTAGTCCTGTGCCCTGCTGGGTGGGTTGAAATCAGATGCGTATCTGGTAAGACAGGAGCTGCTCCTTGTTTCTGTCCTGAGACTCACTGCAATGTCAGGATCTTATTTGGAGCCTGATTCGAATGAATGAGAACAACGAAAGAGAGAAATATGAACACTGAATGTTTTGATATATTAGAGGACTGTTGTCAGTGTTCCTTACGATAATGGTTTATCACTTTTAGTCCTTATCTTTAGAAATGTTTTCTGGTATTCATCATCAGGGACTGGCGGCAGTGGCTGAGGGTATTTTTGAAGCAGTGTTGGTGCTGAGTTGGTTATTGTTGAACCTGGATGATAGGTGGTGCGTGGGGGTTTTGTTCTGCTTTTGTACACGTTTAGAATTTTTCATTGTCGTAATGGGCATCCCTGCCAATTTAGTGATTGTAATTCAAACAACTTAGCATTCGGTTGTTTAGAGAATAGCATTTGCCATTGGTTTTAGGAAATAGCCTATATTATAAAGCAGTTTTCTTATTTAGTGTTTTTATTAGAGTTGGTTGCTGAATTTTATCATGTACATCTTCAGCATCTATTCGTGTATAGTTTTCTCCTTTAACTTGAGTTAGCAGCTTGTATTGATAGATGCTTTGGGTATATTCCTGGTATTTAATTGCGAGCAAGTATTTCATTGAGAATTTTTGCGTTTGTAATTCACAAGTGAGGTTGACTTACAGCCAGCCAACTTGCTTGCTTCTCCATGTGGGTTTGTAGGTGAATTGTGCTGTCTTCATAAAATAAATTGGAGTGCTTTCCCTTTTTCTGTAGTAGCTTAAGTGACTTTGGTGTTACCTATTCTGGGTACCTATTTCGACTCTAATTCTGTCCCGTCTTGCTCCCTTTTTCATTCGTAACTCTTTATTCAGCTGTTCCGTGGTGTTTGCTGTAGGCAGATTTTCAGTTCTGGATTTCACTGTGGTAATTTACAGTGTCCAGGAAATCATCCATGTCTCCCAGATTTTCAAGTTTGTGGCCATCTTGATAAATGTGGTTGCCTGTGTCTGTGATTATATCTTCTTTTCTGTATTTGCTCTTTTTTTCTTAGTGGAACTTGTGAGGAATTTGTTTCAAAGGTTCAGCTTTTGGATTTATGTACCCTTTATTGAGTTACTTTCTGTTTCTTTTATGTTCAGTGTGCCTCAATAGTGAAAATATGTAAAAGCTACATTTTCATCTGAGTCTGTGTGGCTTGTACTGTGTCCTTTCCCAGAGCTTTCTGGGCAGCTTGTGGTTTTGCTCCTTGATCCAAGAGTTATCCTGGAATGTTGTAAATAACTTAGGTTATTTTTTATCTTTTTTCCCCTTTAGTTTTAACAGATCATGATTTGAGAACACTGACTAAAAAGTATGTTAAAATTTGGGTAGTTCTTTACAGCAGTTACATGATAATGAAAATTTTTAATCTTTAACTGCTTTTCTATATTCTACTGACGCAAGATTTTCCATATGTGTTAATTCAGATTCTCTGGTGGTGGCGGTGGGTGCTCAGTCCTCCTCTGCCCTCGCTGGTACTGTCCGCTGAATCTGTCCAGTTCTGAGAGAAGCTATTAAAGCCTCCCACACAAATTGTACTTTTTTCAAGTTCACCTTGTATTTTTCCTAGTCTTCGTTCTGTGTATTTATCTGCTGTAAGTATTCATGGATGCAGGTTTATAAATGTATTATCTTTGTAATTGTTCCTTTTATCATGACCACATTTCCTTAAATCCTACCTTGGTTGGTAGTAACAATGTCTCTGAGTCTCTGTTTGCACTAGCTTGGTATCTCTTAGCCTGTCCCTTTGTTTTCAACATTTTGGGGGCAACTTTGTTTTAAGCACATTTCTTCCACATAACATATAGCTGGTTTTCTGGCTCATCCCTGCTGCACCCCGCCATCTCTTCTTATGAGAGAATTTGTTTCTTTCCCATTTACACTGATAACTGGTATTCTTGAATTTTTCTCGTTTCTTTTCCATATTTTTTGCTGGTTTGATAAAGTTGCTGTTCCATATTTTTCTCCTAATTTGTAAGTAAAGTTTCTAATGGCTACATTTCCTTTTCTTCCATAGTCAGATACTTACCTCTTTATTGTTTGAAAACAAGGTGTTAGCTGCTGCTTCTGCCACAACCATCTGTATTCCAAGTGTCTGCTCCCTTCTCCCTTTTGAAAATTTTACTTCTCTGCTTTCACTCTTGCCCAGAAATCTTAGGTTTTGCTGAGGACGTTTAGTATTTTAAATTCTGGACTATAAATAATATTATCCTAGGATGTCCCTACTCTTCACGAGACCTTAATTCACTCCTGTGAAATGCACCTTAATGCACAATCCCAGATAGACTGGTCTTTGCTCTTCTCAGGAAAGTTTTCCTCTGTTACTACTACTCTCTTTTTTCGCCATCTGTCCCTTTTACCTTCACTTTCTGTTAACAAGGCAGATTTCCTCCAGATGTCTCTCGAGGCCATCTTATACCCATGGTTTCCTTCCCTGTTGTTCTTGTGCACTGAGATTTCTTATATCTGGTTTTCCAAGTCACATTTCAAGTCTCAACTGACTTTTCATTCAATTCAACTACCAAAGTCTGAGATTGAAAATCATCGTTTTTAGATCCAGATAGTTTTCTTTGTTTTAAATAATGCACTTGCATCTTCATCATGGTGATGTTACTTTCTTGGTTCAAATGATTGTCTTTCTCCTTCTGCACCTTGCCTGTTAAGCTCTTCTTGGAGGCAAGAAAATGAGGGCACAGACACAAGGAACCCCGTCACCTTAACCCTGAGGTCCTCACCCCCGGAGCTCTGCTCCCACGGTCTTCCGAGATCTATGCTGTTCTTTTCCTACCTTTCTGGTTCTCCCAGTTCATCTTGCTTCTCTTGCCTGGCATCCCTACTTTCCTGTGAGCTTGCCTTAATTCTGCTTCCTTGTCCTAAGCGTTTTGGACGCTCAAGATGGAGCTTACCTGTCTCCTCCGTCAGCAGTAGTCCTTCCTCTGCACTTTCTGCTCGCCCTAAGTAATGAGCGTTGTAGCAAGAAGCCGTTCACAGGGTCCTCTTCCTCTTCCCCTCTTCTGCCGGACAGATGAGAGTAAAGGGCCCTGGAAGGGGAGCCAGGACCATAACCCTTACCTTCTGTGCCGTGCTATCTCATCTTAACCTTGGTTGGACATTTCCATTCAAAAAGGAAACCTGGGGTGTGCAGTCTTCAGGAATGTTACAGCCTCAGGGAAATGGGGAAGCAAGAAGGTGAAAGCAGCTTTCTGAGAAGTTCCTCAGCACCAGGAGGAGTCACAGAGGCACCCGCCTTGACTTTGTCCTTTCCCCCTGGACGTGGTTCACAGGTCTGGCTCTGTGTGCCCAGCATCCAAATCCAGTCCCTGGTGCTGGGGTTCTCCAGCAGGTGGCAGGCTGCCTCACAGACGCCCTTCCTGCAAAGCTGAGGGTTTCCAGAGAAAAAGGAAATGAGAAATTCCGGTGGTTGTGGAAATTTATGTTGTTCTCCTATTGTGTATCTAGTGCCTGACATATAATCAGTACTAGAAAAGGTACTGCTGAGGGTATGGAATGAATGTGTGTGTGGAGGGGGTTGATTTCAGTAGCTTAATTTTTATGTCTAATTTATCTTCATAATAAGAGGTCATCATTTCATCATTTCTGGGGCAGTATTTGATGTAATGAGAAGCTGAGTGAAACAAGCTAATGATGCCTCACATGTGAGTCTTTTTACTTGTTGATTCATGTGTGTACACATATCGATACATACGTATGTTTTCTTTTAAACAGATTGACGACACTTCATTCACTAAAGATGTCGAAGGTAAGAGATCACACTTTGTCATGTGTCTGCACCATAAGGAGAAACTGCTTTGTGTTTTCAGACTGTTTATAGTCCAGAGTTACATGATTTATTATTTTTAATACAACTGATATGTTTGATTCATTAAGACAAAAGAGTTCTAATTTAATTGTCGTTCTAAAAGCTGTGAGCTTTCTTTTTTCAGATTTCTAATTTCTTGTTTCTGAAAACATTAATGATAATCCATTTAGCCTCCTTGGCTCATTCCCAACAGACCGATCAAATAATAATTTAAAAATTCTAACAGTTGATCGAGATGAAGCAAATGGAGCTCTCAGACGTGATACATTGGCCTATGTCAGCTCTTGCAAATTAGCCTAGAGCCCTGAAAGGAATTCGTTCTACAAGACATGCTGAGATAGGCAGAATTTGTGGTTAAAATTGCAAGATTATTATTTCCCTTTGCCTTTTATTTTAAAATCTTTGAGTGTTTGTTACTATGATGCAGAGTCATCGTAGTTTTTGTGTGGAACTTTGATAAGCAAAAAAGAAAATAAAAATTAGCCACAATTTTGTTATTGAGAAATAACCGCTAGTAACACTCTGTGAACATTCTTTTTACACCTGTGTGTGTGCTTGTGAATATACGTTTACAAAAGGAAATCCTAAAGGAAATGCTGTTTTATACCTTGTCTTCACATCTGATGAATCTGCTGTGTCTTTTTCAATTCCCTCCCATGTTGAGCTCAGCGCTGCCCGGCTCCATGGCTTCCCTGCATCGGCTGGGTGCCCCCGCTGTGACTCCTGTCAGGCGGCAGGCGTCTGTCTCAGAGAGCGCTGACCGCCAGCTGTGGCCCTGTTCCCACTCTCCGTCTCCCTTCTCCTGGTCTTTGAAGCTGGATGCTCAGCATCCCGCCCCTCGGTTGCCTGCCTCACCTTCGTGGGGCTCGGTTCCTTGGAGCTGGGAATTCAGCTGGAGACGGGGCTTTTTCCGGCTATTTTCCCAAATGCACCACTTCTGATACCTGAAGTCTATTTTTAGAAGCTATTCTTTAGCTAAATTTGTTGGCTGGAACCACTGTCAGCTGTGGCTTTGCTTTGTAAAGTTGACTGAATTTTCTTTAGCTCTATAAACAGTTTCTCAAGTCAGAATTTGACGTAAGTGAATTGAAGATTCATCTTCTGTGTTGCTTCATTGCTTAACAGGAATGTTATTTTAGGTCAGCATATAGGCATGAAATGATACTGAATGGGTTTTTCTTCTTTTTATAAATGCTTTTAAGTTAATACCATCAATTTTCTGATAGAAATGACTCTGGATCTATGTTTGGCACAGTATCTTACAGGCAACTAATAAGGTGTGTGTTCTTTTTTTGTGTGAAATACTATTTTAGCAACAACCAACTCAGTTTATAAATCCAGAAACTCCAGGCTATGTTGGATTTGCAAATCTTCCCAATCAAGTTCACCGAAAATCAGTGAAAAAAGGTTTTGAGTTCACACTGATGGTGGTCGGTAAGAAATTAACTCAAGTTTATTAAATTTGTAATTATCTCCCCTTCCCAATCAGTAGATTGTAATAGCATGACCTGTAAAGTCAAAGGGAAAATTCCTTTGTTGGCAGAATCAAATAACTTAGGAATTTAGTGGGGGAAATTCTTTAGAAAATTTTGCTGAAGAGCAAAGTTATAACTTCTGTCATTTCTTATTCATATGTCGTGGAAGTTTTACTCATTGTGACAGCCAGCCTCTGAAGTGGCCCCAAGTGTTCCTTACCTCCTGGAATTCACGACACTTTCTGGTCCCTCCCACACTGAGTAGGGCTTCCTGTTTAGCCAGCAGGACACTGCAGAAATAGGTGTGTGACGTCGTGACTGGGTCACAGAACCTAGTGGCTGCGCCTTGCCTTGTCTTGAATCAGTTACTCTGGGGGACACTCAGGCAGCCTCCCAGAGCGTCCCACAAGGCAGGGAGCTGTGGCCCATCCCAGAAATGCCATCTGAGCCCAGGGAAGCTGATGCTGCCATCCTGGCTGATGGGCTGTTACCGCAGGACTGGCCCTCACACCACAGCCACCCACCTTAGACACTCCCAAACTCCTGGCCCAAAAATCTGTCACGCAATAAATGTTTGTTGTTGGTTTAGGCCTCTGAGTTTTACAATAATTTGTTACACTTTAAAAATGACTTGTTTATTTAATATTAATAAAAAGTAACTCAGGGTTCTTTGGTGGGTTTATTTCAAGCAAGGAACAGTCCTTGCTGCATAAATTTTAAGCGTGATTTCTTCAAGTCTTTTGAAATGGAGTGATTACCTGAAATTATTTTCTGTTACACCAGGTATATTTTATCATGGACTGTAGCATGCACGTGTTTCAGCATGTCCATGACCAGCTTAATTTGATGAACTGTTAATTCAGATCACATTTTCATTCTCGATAACCACAGAATTCTCAAAAACGATGAGGTAGCTGTGAGAGGAGCTTGATGGGCTGGTCGTGTGTGCGAGGACAGGTGGTTGTTTCTTGGGGCGAGTAGTGGACAGATCTGAGGTGGGAGGGACTGTAGGGCCCTTGGTCCAGAGAAGTGCGTGGAGACAGGTTTTAGGGGCACAGTTACATGACGGTGGTGGCGCAGGTGGAAAAGGGATGTGCAGTGCAACCTAGCGCCTGGCTGCTTGGCTTTAGAGGATTCAAGACCAACCACTTCTACTTCTGGCATGAGGGGATAGCTCAGGGTTGGCAGACTCTTTCTGTAAGGATCGGGCAGTAAACACTTCAGGCTTTGGGGGCCAGGCAGCCTCTGGTGCAGTTGTTCAGCCCCACAGGCGTCAGGGGAGATGGCCCGGACAGCGCATCTGTGGACAGGCACGGCTGTTCTAGCAAGGCGGCTTGTTCACAAGGTCGCAGGTGGATTTGCCAGGGCTCCGTAGTTTGCCGAACCATGAAGTAACTATACCAGACTAGTCTTCCTGGTGTGAGTGACTGGAAGGCTGGTCAAGATGTATGAAGCCGTTCTCTTAGGACATTGAACAGGCAATGCAGGACTTTGGTCCTTGAGAGAAGGGATCAAATTATATGAACTGTAAAGTCATTCCAGCTTTCTGCCGCCTGCCTGCCCTTGCCCCAGGGAGGGTAAATCAAGCAGAGCACCTGGTCTCGGTGGAAGAATGGGGTCACAGCTCAAGGAAGCTGAGTAATGAACCTGCAGTAGTGAGGCAGAGCTCCCAGGAAGACAGAGGGCTCCACGGACCTCCCCTGGGGTCCCTCTGGCACCACGGCTGACACTCACCTTGTGGGCAGGGTAAGCTTCCGTGGATCTGGGCAGAGTGTAGCCAGCAGGAGACAGAGTCGAACTGGAGGCTGCACAGAACTGGGAAGTTGGAGTGGAGTCAGGAGATGCCGGAATTCCAACCAAGCAGGGGGACGTCCTGCTGAACACCCATGGCATTCAGTAAAGTCCGTGTGGAGGAGCTCACAAACAAGCCTTGAAAGGATCAAGCTCACTTACAAATAAATTAAGTACTGGCCAGGACAAATCCCATCACTTACTGAAGACAGACGTCAAAATCCAGACATTTATAGTGTAAGAGTCACAATATTGAACTTCCAATAAAAAGTTCCTAGATATGCAAAGAGGAAAAAAAAAAACGTGGCACATAACCAGGAGAGAAATCAGGCAGTAAAAACAGGTCAGAAATGACAGATGATAGGTTGGCAGACCTGACTTAGCTGTTTTAAATGTGCTTCTGTGCTTAAAAGGGAAATATGAAGGTGATGAAGTAAATGGAAGATTTTTAGAAAGGAGGAAAATGAAACTTCTAGAGATTAAAAAAGTATGTCCAACACCTGAGATGAAACATTTCCTAGTGGGCCCAACAGCAAGTTATACTGCGGAAGACAAAGGGTCAACAGAACGCGTCCGAACTAAAACAGACACCAGGCAGAATAAGTCTAGACGGCAGCGGATAGGTGGAAACCACTGGCGAACAGAAAAATCCTACAGGTAGCCGGAAAAAAAGAAAAACAGATTACACACAGAGGACCAAAGGTGAAAAAGACCACTGACTTCTCATCAGGAAGAACGTGAGCCCTGTGGCCTGAAAGTACCGAGAGTACAAAACCGTCAGCCTCAGGTTCTGTGTTCATCAGAAACAGTCTTCAAAATGAGGATTAAAAAGAGAAGATGAAACAAAGACATTTTCAGACAAATAAGCTGAACAAATTTATCAGTATCAGACCTGCACCATAAGAAGGACTAAATGAGAGTCTACACGTTTGCAGAGAAGGGGAAGCACTGGAAATGGGAGATGTGTTGGCAAATACAAGATTTTTTCTTGCCTCTTAAATGTCTTTCAAAGGGAATTGACGATAACTGACACTGAGCAAGGAGAGCACGAGGGCGGAGGGGGGTGCTGCTGTGACCCCTGCACGCTGCTCCCCAGGGGCAGAGCCCTGCTGGAAGCGCGGCTGCCCAGCTAGCAGCCACTGGAGGAAATAAAAGATTTGGCTGAAAGCCAGTAGCTTTGGTAAAGTAGAGTATGAAAGAGTGTTTTGTCCAGAAGCAGGGGAATGAGGCAGTGGGGAGTGGGCAGCAGGGGGCAGACGTGCGCACAGCAGCGAGTGGTCTTAGGTACGCAGGCAGCACGAGGCACAAGTGAACGGCAGGTGTCATCAGGCTGGAGGAGGAGAAAGTTTCAGTGAGAGGCACAGATGAGGTAAACTCAAGGGATGGGACATTGCCCTGCAGGCCCCCGTCCTGGGAAAGCTGAAGTGGCTGCGTGAGCATTGAGTGCACTTGAGGTCACCCCCCTGAGCCTCCCGCAGGTGCAGGACCCGTGCTGGAGCGAGAAGGCGTCTGTCCAGGGCCATGTCCTCCCACGCGCGCCTCACAGCTGCTCTGCGATGGCTTGGTGCGCAGCCTGCTGGGAGGCAGAGAACTCTGTAGGAACCGGATTTTAACACTCCTTGCAGTAACTCACGAAACAGAACCAGTAATGTTGTAGGATGTTTAAATTCGGTCACACAGCATGGCCCAGTTGACAGCACTGCTGAGCAGCGGGAAAATGCCTGTGCTTTTCAGGTGCTTGTGGAACATTCACCAGAGATGCCCGGCATGGTGCGAGGATCTGGCCAGGCATCACCCTGTTGCTAACGGCAAGAAAAGGAGACTCGTTCCTCGTGAGATGGACACGGACATCTTCATGAGGTTGTGGCCAGTCTTGCAATATGTAAAGAAGCTTGACACAGTTGTGCTGTAATGCACTGTATGTGTGTTTCTGCAGAATCAAGCAGCTGAAACCACTGGCTTGTGGGGAACATAGGGGCGCAACACCCAGAACCTTCCTCAGCAGCACGTTTGCTTAGGAAAAATGGGCCTCGGAGAAACTGCAGCACACCTAGCTTGGGGCAGACTTCTGAAGAAACAGGAAATTTCACACCTTTGGGCAACAAATTGCAAGGAATTTTTAAATCACAAGTAAGTTGTTAGTGATCAAGGAAGGCAGTCAGGTGGCAGGTTGTCTGTGAGAACATGAAGACGGTGCTGCGGAGGGGCTAGTCAGATGGTGGCAGTTGGTGACGGCTTCGCCAAGCAGGTGGAAGCTCCACGTGTCAGCAAAGCAAGATTAAAAATGTAGAGCTCATTGCCAAGTGTGCTTCCTGGTAGAAAGTCCACAGGATGGTTAGGACTTGTGCCAAATTCACAAGAGGGTTACAGAGCAAGCACCAAGAACTCTAGAACTAAGCTAGGAAAGTGAAAACCGACCTCCAAGCAAAATGACTGGCGTGCTTGGCTCACTGGTGGGGTGTGTTACAGGTTTTCCTTCCTGGGGCACGGGAGCCTGCAGTGGTGGTGGCTCTAGGCTGTGGGGCCTGTCATTCCCTTGTCTGGAGTGCTCTGCTTCCTCCTGGCCTCCCGGCTCAAGACAGAAGTCTGAACAGAAGGGCCGACCACTCAGAGTGCTGGCCTCGGGCCTTCTGCACGGCCTCCTTGGTGGGGTTCGGGCTGCTGGGCGTCTGCACCTCTGGTGCCTGCTGCAGGGCGTCTTCCTGGTGGTGGAAACACAAGCCGTGTTGTCAGCTCCAAATGCCTCGCACCCCGTTCCGTCTTCACTGGTACTGCTTTGAAAGGGTAACAGGTAATTAAGATAGCGGACCCCAGGAGGTCTTGTGTTGAAATCTCCTGATGGTGATGGATTTGCACTGGTCCACACCTCTTCTTGTTTCCCCCAGTGGAGAACCTTCGGGATGGAGATGTTTGCGAAAGCAGAACAGAGCAAAGCCATGTGCGCTCAGAGATGCAGCCTGAGAGTGGCAGCAGGTTCTGAGTTAGCAGATGATTTGTAGATGTGACCTGAAAGCTATTCCAAGTGAGATAATCCCTTCTGCCCTTGAATGAAGATTCAGAGTCTGGAATCAGCCATCTCCATCAGACACCTTTGCTCTGCCGTCTTCTGGGCTCGGTCCTGTTTCAGCTCTGTTGTCCACAGTTCCTCATTCGTGACAGAGTGGCTTTGTCTGTGACCTTCCCCACTGGATTGCAAGGTTCCACAGGAGCAGGGAATTACCTGTCCTCTTCTCTGCCGTGTCCCTGCACCTATCTGTGCCAGGCGCTCAGGGGACTTGGCACATCCTGGTGAAGTCACCTGCAGGTGCACTCAAGAGTGCACAGGGCATTGCTTTACAGTTTGTTAGAAGGGACAGTATGTGTTTAGTCACGTTTTTACTCTGACATTTGGACATGTGCAACATGTGATTCTGCTTTTTCCTTCTAACATTCCTTCTCATCTGTGAATGTTGCAGTGTAACTAAAATGCAGCCCTAATTTTGTATGTCTGCAAATTTCAGATTCAGTCTTTTGTTGCTGCTTTTCCCAGAGGTAATGATTTTTAAAACAGGTGTGTGCTCCTTCCACATGCTGTGCAGGACTCGGGGGAGGGGTCAAACCAAGATGCGCAGGGGACGGTCTGGGACGGAGTTCAGAAGCACTTTTCCAAGCAGAGCTAAGCCTTAGATGATGACCTGCAGTAAAGTGGTGCAATCTCTTCATGTTTCCTTTGAATATAAATTCTAATTATAGTATTTTGTATCTTCTTTGAACTTCACGTAATCAGAACGCATAGTTAACGGTGGTTGAAAGGTGATTTTTGATTCATTAAGTGCTTGCGTGAATGTGTGAATTGGCCGTGTTATACTCAGCCAGGTGAGCAGGAGAGCCGTCTGACACAAGGTGGTTGCCAGTGTGGGGGTGTGACAGAGGGAACTGCAGAGTGAAGGGCACCAGGGGGTCGTCCTACCCCTTTCCTGTTCCCTGTCCCCACAGCTCAGGAAGCTGGAGTGCCATTGACATTGTTGGATTAGGAGTTACGTTCAGTTTTCTGAAAATGTAATGCATTTAAAAATGAGCAGAACCCATAGTTGAAAACCCACTTTGCGTTCTACTCATCAGAAAATAAAGATCCACCTCTGAAGTCTATTCTGCATACATGGGAAGGGGTCAGGCTGTGTTTCTGGTCTCACGGTAACCAGTTCTGAAGTCTCACAGACCTGGATTCCCGTCCAGACCCTGCTGCTCCGACGGCACTCTGCCCTGGAACAGACGGGAGAGTTGAGCCGAGTCTGTGGTGGTTGAGGGCTCAGAGTGACGTGAGGGCCCTGGTCCCACGGACAGCCCCCTGACAGCCTTTCCCTCTCATCTCAAGGTGAATCCGGCCTCGGAAAATCGACTCTCATAAACAGCTTATTCCTGACTGATCTCTATCCAGAAAGAGTCATCCCTGGAGCCGCAGGTATGGGGTATGCCGCTCTGTCCCACTGCAGCTGCACTGAAAGCTGCTTGGGGGTGCGCCGTGGCCTCGTGCTGCACACGTGTGTGTCGGCTTCGGGCCCAAGGAAGCACCACAGGGGCAGGAAGGGTGTGCCCCTGATGCCCCCGTCCTGGTTGTGGGCTCTGGCCCTGTGCCGTGTCCCAAGCTCTCCAGACTCGTCTTCTTTGTCTGTGATGTGTGGCGGTTCTGCCTGTGTTACCTGTTTGATGGGGTATCGGGTGAAAATGTTCTCGCTCGGGAGAAATATCTGTGTACGTGGAAGACTGCCGTGGGAAAGGGTGTTGTCTGACCCTTTATCTGGGGGGTGGGGGGTGGAGTGTCCAGCATGGGCCTCTCGAGGCTGTCGAGTGAGCGAGCTGTGCGCACAGCCTGCGCGGCACCCGGGCCCCGCCAGTGCAGGACTGCAGCCCTTTGGCAGTAGTTTTGAATTCAGGTTTTAAATGAATCCGGGAATTGTTTTCTTTGTCTCAGGAACAGAAATGGTCGTCTTCAGCATTGGCCTTTTACCCTCCCAGGCCCCTCTAACCTTAGCTGTGGGGTCTCCCTTGCCGACCCGGGCTGTCTCCACAGTCGTCGTGCTCCCTTTTGAGAGCCGTTCTCAGAGGCGGACGGGAGCTTCTGAGTCGTTTGTTTAATGATGAGTCAGCAAGAGGGGACTTCTCCTGTCTGGGAACTGACTCAGTTTTAAGATATGCTCTCCTACAAAGTATGCTTCTTTTTTAGAAAAAATTGAAAGGACTGTCCAAATTGAGGCTTCAACCGTTGAGATAGAGGAGCGAGGTGTGAAGCTGCGCCTGACGGTGGTGGACACGCCAGGCTACGGGGATGCTATCAACTGCAGGGACTGGTACGTGCGCAGGGCCGCGGGGCCTGCGGCTGCTCGCACCTGTGCCAGAGGGTGTGAGCCGCGGCTGCTGGCAGCCGGGTGTGAGGCAGTCCACGTCAGGTTAGTTACAGCTGCTCAGGGGAGGGCTTTCACAGGGAATGAGCGCTTTTCTCTAGTGTTCCGCGGAGGTCTGGGGTCGCGGGGCCGGCCGGGCCGCAGGCCTGGTGTGAACAAAACCCTGCACTAGGAGCCTTGGCCAGTGGACAGGGCGTTGCAGTGCAGCCCCCCCTTTCTGTGTTTGAGGAGCTGAGGTCTCCTAAGGACTCACTGAGGTCTTGGTGTCTGTGAGGGGCTGCTGTTGGCAACATTCACACAAATGAAGTCAAGGAGCCAGATACCCGCGCAGTCTGTCCTGCTCTGTGCGGAGAACACAGACTCTCCTGGGCCCGAGGCGGCCAACGGTGTCCGCTTCCCAGCCCGGTGCCCCTGGTCTCCACACGTGATCTGCTCCCGCCCCAGCCCCAGCCCCTCTGCTCTGTCCTCAGTCAGCGCAGCCTCTTTGTAACCTGTTCCATTCAGACACCACTTAGAGGAGATTGTTTTCGACACCATTTCCAAAAACCTTTGTCTTGCCAAACCTAGGGTCAGCTTTCTGTTCCCGCCTTACAAATAAAGTGCTGAGTTCTATTTGGTAGGGAGGCAAGGGATGGAAACACTCATTTAGCCTTGGAAGCTAGGGGCTTCCTGCCGCCCGGGTCCCAGACTGTGAGTGTGTGTCTCCACCAGCTTTAAGACCATCATCTCCTACGTGGACGAGCAGTTTGAGCGCTATCTGCACGACGAGAGTGGCTTGAACAGACGGCACATCGTGGACAACAGGGTGCACTGCTGCTTCTACTTCGTCTCGCCCTTCGGGCACGGGTCAGCACACCCTCTCTGGGAGCCCCCCGTGTCTGCTGTGTGCAGTCCCAGCTTCCCCAGCTGCACCGTTCAGTGAGAGAGAAGAGTCCTCCCTGTTCTCTCCCTGAATGCGCGACGCTTTCCTCAAATTACTTCTAGACTCAAGCCCTTGGACGTGGCGTTTATGAAGGCGATACACAACAAGGTGAACATCGTGCCAGTCATTGCAAAAGCCGACACGCTCACCCTGAAGGAGCGGGAGCGCCTGAAGAAGAGGGTGAGCGTTGGGCCTGTGGGGGCGGGGGGACAGGAACGGGACAGGGGAGCGTGAGGGGCCTGCTGGGGGGGGTGGGGACGGGACCAGGGGATGGGGGAGTACGTGGGGCCTGCATGGGGAGACGGGTTGGGGGAGTGTGTGGGGCCTGCAGCAGAGGACAGAGGACCAGGGGATTGGGGAGCACGTGGGGCCTGCATGGGGAGTCTGGGTGCTTTTGCACTGACATTTACCTGTAGTTTTTAATATCATGCTTTCATGAAGGTTTCATGTGTGGCTTGCTTTCTCGTGTTCCTGGCCGTTAGGGGTCCCTGCTCACTCGCATGTTCCGAAAGTTTAGGGCAGTGCCTGGCACAGAGGAGGCCCCCTCAGGTCTGTGCTGTCAGCACTGAGTACACCGCCTTCTCACAACTGCGTAGTCAGTCAGAGCCTCAGAAAGGAAACATGCACACTTCAACCTTTGAAAGATGGCTGCATCCACCTCGGAGCTGTGTGACAGTTGGTGTCCCCAGAGCAGAGTGTGAGCGTGTGCTTCTCCCCTGGGGGAGGGTTCTGGATGTGCCACCAGTTTCTGTAAGGCGTCCCCCTTCGAGAAAGGGAGACGGCACCGTTCCTGTTTGTCCTTGCCCACTGGCTGGTGCGAGCTGCCTGTCACGCAGCTGGAGGTGAAGCCTGCTGAGAAGCGTGCTCCACTTTGTTGTGTCTTTTGACTCCTAGATACTCGTATGTTTTTAGACATTGGCTGTCATGGTGCAGGTGACTTCACAGAGCTTGACTTCGTGTGTTCATGTTTTTCCTGCTGTCTTCTGTTCGTAGCAGAGTTTCAGATTGTATATACCCGTGTTTAGTTAGCCTTTTCCTTTCTTATCTCGAGTGCCTGCCAGATTTCTAGGAAATACTCAGGCCCTTGGAGGGGCCCCCGAAAGCTTAGGTGTTTTTATGCTTGACAGCATTTCAGCAGTTAGCGCTGAAGGGGTCTTCACCTTTCATAGGCAGTCAGGTTAGACGTGGGACAGGTAGGAGGGGAGGCTGTCAGGTTGGCATCTCTGGTTGTGTAGCCCAGATTCTTCAGGCTGAGCTCAGAGTCTGAAACGAGCAGAACCCTTTTTATCCCTCCTCCTGGTCTGGTTCTCCCGCCGGCCTGTAATATGCTTCTCCTGCCTCGTCTGGGGAGCCCCCCGTGGCGACCTGTCCACCTGTCCTCGGGTGTCGTCGTAAACCTCCTGGTGTGACCACCCTCCCCTGGCTTCCGTGTGCAGCCGCGCAGTCAGCCTGGGCCTCCCCGGCAGGGCTTGCTGTGCTTCCTGAGGAGGTTCTTCTGCCTGTTTACCACCTTCCTGTCTCCTGACCCCTGAATGTCCGTGTGACTTAATGTTGCCTTGTTCACACCGCCTCATGTGACTTCTGCTTTTCTCTTCAGAGAACCTCACTTCTCTTTCCCGCGGATTCGTGTGCGTACACGGGAGCCCTCTTCTCTCAGCCTGCCTGCCTGTAAATGGTCCCACAGTTCTTGCAGTCACCCAGACTGAGAACATATAATTACTTTCGGTCATTACTTGCTCCCTCCTCTCTTCCAGCTCTACACAGCTTACTCCTGTGCTCCCTCAGACCTGTGTTTGTCCCTCTTGCTGGGGTCTGCGGGGTGGTCGTAGGCGGGAACAGAGCAGGCAGAGCAGGTTCTTGCTCACTGCTCAGCTTCTCCTGCATCTCGCTTAGGAACCAGCAACCGTGAGCGAGGTGGAGGATGCGGGAGGAAGGCCTTTCCTTGAACCCTGACTTAGTGCAGACTGTGGCTTCATCCTAGATCTTTGACCACACAGGGCCCTTAAGGAGGAACAGATCTGGGAGCACGCTGAAAGTAGGGGTGTTTCCTGCTGGCTTGGCTTGAAGGCCCAGGTTCTGGGGGAGGGTAAGCAGAGGCCCAGCCTGCCTGGAGCACCCGAGTGCAGGGGAGTTGGGGGCTGGGGTTTAGTGGGCTGACTGGTGAGTGACTGCGGCCTTCCGCTCCAGCCCAGGTTTTCTCTCCCTCTGGGCTGCTCTGCAGGGCTGACAGCTCAGGGTGTGCCGTTGCACTGCTGGCCACGTCCTGCCTGTCGTCCAGATCCCTAGAGCCCTTGCTGACGTTCAGGGAACGGTTGTTAGGGAGCCAGTCCTTCTTCCATCTCATCCAGCTAGATAGACGTCTTAGGTTCCAGCCAGCCTGGACCTCTTGTTAGTCCCCCCTTGTTAGTCTGCGAGCCGAGCTCCCTCCCCTCCGCGCCTTGGGCGCATGTCCCTCCTCTCCCTGGAAGGCTCCCTCCTGAGGCTGGTAGTGGTGTGGTTTCCTTTGAGCCTCTGACCTGGCGCCGTCCGTAGTCTGCTGCTTTGTACGTCGAAGGTGATGGTGCGACGTTACTGTTCTGGGCAGAGGACCCTTCAGAGTGCAGGCATGAGTACCTTTTTGGCAGTTAACAAAATCATTTGATAATGGTTATGATCCATTTGATTCTTTATTGACATTTGGGTAATTTTGACATATTTCTAATATGATGAGTTAGACCTGACTGAAACAGTATGCAGTTTGCTAAGACTGCTCCTGGTTTGGTCATTCTTTCAGATTCTCGATGAAATTGAAGAACATAACATCAAAATCTATCACTTACCTGATGCAGAGTCAGACGAAGATGAAGATTTTAAAGAGCAGACTAGACTTCTCAAGGTAGGAGCTCTGTCTCCAAGTGCCCAGGTAGTAACTCCTGCTTCCTGTCATTGGTGCATTTAAAATGGAAGGAGTTGGCAGAGAGCCAGGTCCTGGAAGGACAGCCTCTTCGGCGGGGTAGGTTTGGTTTTAGTAGTGTTTCTTCTTTAAATGTGTTTGACCGTAGCTATCACCTAAGGCTTAGAAGTCTTGCTGGAGGTTTAATTTGTTCTCATGCATTTTGACCCATGTGGAAAATACCTGCCATGCACGAGAGAAGTGCCACTCGCTTTCCGAGAAAGCCTTGTCGCCAGCAGCAGTGTGCCAGTTGGTGCTCACGTCCCTGTGTTCGTGGAGAACATGGGGCTTCCCTGCGTCTCTTTCTAGGCCAGTATCCCATTTTCTGTGGTTGGATCCAATCAGTTGATTGAAGCCAAAGGCAAGAAGGTCAGAGGCCGTCTCTACCCCTGGGGCGTCGTGGAGGTGGAGAACCCAGAGCACAACGACTTTCTGAAGCTGAGGACCATGCTCATGTAAGGTGCACATGTGTCCCGGCCGGGCTGCCCAGCGTGGCCATGACCTCTGACCCTGTGTGCCCCCGCTGCAGCTGTCACTGCCTGGTGCACCGGGCCCTCCGCGCGCTTCCTGCGTGACCAGCCTCTTCCACCTGCGCCTGGAGCTCAGTAGGCTCTCCCTCCTATAATCTCAGAGCCCCTTCTGATGCCAACAGACTTGAGACCTAAACTGTGGGGTGACCGCACCAAACATGGGACGCCCCTTGCCCTGGGCAGGAAATGGTCAGATTCCTGCTGTGGCCACAAGCTCCTCCAGCCCAGCTGAAATGCGTCCCCACGCCAGTCAGCCTCAGTCTCACGTGGAGGGCCCCAGTTAGCCTTGACAGGCTCCACTGGCTCTTAGCAACTAGAACCAGACCACAAAGATAGACTTCTTTCCTTGAAGAAAAAAGTTTTACCTTTAGCAACATGCGCACATGCATTGCTGTTGCTCTTGCATAAAGAGCCTTAAAAAGTGCATTGCTAAAATCTAGTACCTCTTTAATCAGAAGGGTTCAATGAATAGCCAGTCCGGATAAATTCTGAGTAACTGAAAATTGCTGTATATGCCACAGAGGTCTCACTTGGTTCAGGAATTTTTAGTGAGTTAAAGTCACTAAGAATACCGTTAAAGTTAACCATTCAAGCTGTGTCAGCGCAATCCAGTCACCACGTAAGAGGTGAAAGTTTGCCATGGTCCTCCAGGACGGCCAAGCCGTCTGGTCTCGTCCCGGAGCCGGAGGCTGTGGAGGCCAGAAGTGGCACTGCAGTGTCGGCCGAAGGAGCTGCCCCTTTGCCATCGCTGTCTGCTGCCCGGACCCCCAGTGGGCAGGCATGTTACTCATTCTCCAGTGCTTAAGTATTTGAACAAGCTGGGCCATCTTTTGTAAGATGATTAGAAGATTCAGAGTTCTGTTTCTGCCTCATCCAGAATATTAATACTTCATTTCATGGTTTTCTCCACAGAGTAGGCTAATCAGCTCTTTCTGATATAAATGTTAAGCTTGAGAAGTCATGAATGTTTGAATCACGTTTTCCATATGTTCTTTTAGAAAAGGGTGTTCTCTTTCAGATACTGTTTATCTAAAAAATCTAAAACCTCGGCACGTGCACCTGTCAGTGGTGACGGCCCAGTCAGGTGTGTCTGTGCGTTGCTGGTTGCATTAGCACAGAGGGGTGCTCCTCCATAGGGTTTGCACAGCCTCGCTACCCCGTCCCTTTGTGCATGTTTACTGGGCGGCAGGGGGGTTAGTTGCTGGGTTCTCTGGGGTCCGGAATGGGTGGACGTGTGGGCATGGCTCAGCCCAGGCACCCTCTTCTCTTGCAGCACCCACATGCAGGATCTCCAGGAGGTGACCCAGGACCTTCACTACGAGAACTTCCGGTCCGAGAGGCTCAAAAGAGGCGGCAGGTCGTTGCCCCAAGTCACACTGCCCCCCTGGTCCACGTTGTGTCGTCCGAGTCGTGCTGTCCCCTCCTCTTGGTGTCCAGTCATCCATGACGCTGAGCACTGCCATTTGGCTTCCCACTCAGAAGTTATCACAGGATACTTGCTGCTCATTTAACAGATGGGCTCACTTGCTCTTTGTTTTTTTGCCTGCTAAAAGGTAGCTCAAATCATCTGAACGTCAGGAGCCCCTCTAGATGGAAAGACCTGGGTACTTTCTCAAAGGCGTCACTCTGCAAGCGAGGACAGACTCCTCACCTGTTGTTAAGAAGCTAGTGCCCAGCCAAGGGTGAACAGCCACCCTCACTCACCTTTTTTTTAATCATCCTAACTAATAGGTTTTTATTTGAGATCTGTATCTTGTGACCTGATTTGTGTCTGAAAAACGACACCTCAGCGTAGGGAGTTAGTTTCTTTAATTAACTAGTAAGTGCTATATATCGTTTGTAAAAAGAATTAGTGTGTTGTAGCTCATTGAAATGTTCACAATGTGTAGATGGGGTGGATTTATACATACATGAGGTACACTTTCTGGTCTGTGTTACTGTGTTATTAATTTGGGGACCAGACACTAAGAGGATGTAGAGGCAGTGAGGAGATCCCGCTCAAGGAAGCCAGCAGGCCGCGGCACCAGGACAGCGTGGGAGGGGCCGTGGCACCGTCCTCTGCCTGGTTGCTCAGACTCTGTTCCTTCACCCAGGAAAGAGCCTTCTTCAGTTAATAGTGTACCGTCTTCTGGCGTAGGTAAAGATGAAGCCCCCCCCCGCTTAGAGTAAGGAAAATGTCTTGAATTTTGTTTGGTGTTCCTTTTTTTTCCATTCTTATTCATTCATGTTTTAATGAGATAAATGATAAACATATGTAATTTTAAATAGATGCATTCTCAGAAGTGTGAAATGAAATTTTCCTTAGGGTATCTGTCAGAAATAACCAACTACGTCTGTCGCAATGTTACAATTGTAATTTCTTTCAACTCAGAAAAGTGGAAAATGAGGACATGAATAAAGACCAGATCCTGCTGGAAAAGGAAGCCGAGGTAAGTGGGAAAGGAGCTTTGTAAATCTTTGCCCCTGAAGCTGTTTCGCCCGAAGTCGTTGCCGGCGGTCTTACTGCAGCCCTGCCCATTCGCCTGCGAGGGGGCGCGCTGCACGGCACTGGTGGTGCCCGTCGTGCGCCACGGCACGGGTGTGCGGCTCTCCTTCTGCCGTCTCACTTACTCTCCAATGGCAATGTAGTGGGGAAAGTTGGAAATGGAATTTAGTAACGACGCTTTTGTAAAATGTTTACCAGTCAGTTGTTTTCCTGTACGTAGACAATGAAAGTACAGTGAAGACACTTCCATTCACCATCGTTAACAAAAATTTAACAAGAGGCACGTAGGACTTACACAAGAGAAGAAACTTCTACTGAAAACTTCTTCAGAAGTGTGAATAAACAGTTTTTAGGTAGGATGCTCAGTGCGGGGATTGCAGTTCTGAGTTAATGCAACTCCGGCAGAGTTGTGTTCGCTGAGTTCTTTTTTTTAGGGGAGAGTTTGATAAAAGAATTTCATTTGTTTTGAAGACTAAGCATGGGAAATACAGGAAGCTCTGTAAACAGCAGACCCACAGGAAGAGGCTAGCTGTACTGGCTGAGGAACGTCGAAGTGGTCATCCAGAGTGTGGTACAGGCGTGGCAGGCTGATTAAATACAGGTCTGGAAATAGGTCACAAGTATGGAAGTGCTGTGTGGTCAGGCTGGCTCCGGGCTGGTGGGGAATCCAGGCCTGTGAGTAAATGGTAACAGGACAGCCAGCCCTTTGAAAACAAAAATGAAACTTACTCCTTTGGCCAAATTAATTCACTATGGATCGAGTATTTAAATGTTAAAAACAATCACAGAGTTACCTGAAGAAAATTTAGGTAGATATTTTACAGTCCTTGCCTGGAGGCCTTTCTAAACACAAAGAAGCCATCACGATACAAAAAATGGAGAGAGCGGGGGTAGACGTGACTGCTTGGACAGCAGGGCCCTGTTCTGCAGTTCCCGAGAGGCCAGACCAGGCCTCTTCCATCCGCTCGCACTCCCCAGCACTCCCCAGTGGGCGGGGGCTGCCTCCGTCCCCCCCTTTAGGTTAAAAAACACCACGTTGCCTTTCTTATTTCTGTCTGTTGGTGCTGTTTGTTTATTTGAATTGCATGTTTTATCACTTGTTTGGTTTTTCTGTGGCGTGGTTGGTCCTTTTACTGATTTTTGAGAGTCGTCAGTATACTAGCGCATTGTCATGTTTTCGGAAACCTGGAGGCTGGAGCGCTAGAAATCCCAGAACACACACAGAGAACCAACAGCGTGTCCCGTCTTGTGCGCAGCTCCGCCGCATGCAGGAGATGATCGCGAGGATGCAGGCACAGATGCAGCTGCAGATGCAGGGCGGGGACGGCGACAGCGGGGCTCCCGGGCACCACGTGTGAGGTAATGGGAAAGCCCAGGACACGGGCTCCTTGGGTCTGAGTGATGCTCTGCATCTTGAACCACGTCGCTGGCCTTACAGGAGAGACTGCTGCTCTTAAAAAGGGAAGCTTCCCCACCCCCGTCCAGTACAGGGTTTTCTGTAAACGTGTTAACAGGCGTGATGGAAAGACCCAGTTTTTCTTTCCCCTGCAGGGAAAACGCAGCTGTTCGTTCCTGTGCGTTTCTTTCCCATGTGTCTCTACCAGACTTGTGGAGGCTTTCCCCCCACCGAGCAGTTCTCCCCAACACCAGCTGGGTCTGCAGTCTCGGCTCTGACACCACCCACCTGGTGATTGGGTGAGGTCCCACAGGTGAGGGGCGCAGTCCCGCAGGACTGCCTCTCACTGCACATGCCAGTGTCTGGCCAAGGTGGTCACCTGTCCTTCAGACCAACCAGAGGTTCCCACATCCCCTCCTCGGGTTCAGAGCGGCTCCCAGAACTCAGAGGAACATTTTGCTTGCTGGGTTCCCAGGTTATGAAAGGATGTGATAAAGGATGCAGATGAATAGTGGGTGGAGACCCATAGGGTGAGGTCGGGGGTCTTCAGTGCAGGAGTTTTTGTATGTCACCCTCTGGTACGCATGTGCTCCCCTCCCCAGCTCTCTGCACCCCTCCTTTGAAGTTTCGTGGCACTTCCTCATGTGGGGACGATCAGTCATGAACTCCACTGCCTGTTCCTCTCCCTCGCCTCTCTGGAGGCTGAAAATTACAAGCTTCTCATGGCCTGGTCTTTCCAGTGACCATCCCCCCATCCAGGAGCCCACCCAGGGTTCCCTCATTGGTACAGCAGATACTCCTCTTGCTCAACAGTTACAAAGGTTTCAGGAGCCCTGTGTCAGGAACAGAGGTCAGAGGTCAGAGGTCAAGCATTAGAACAGGAGGTGCCCCAGCGTTCCCATCACCCGAGAGGTTACCGGGCCTTCAGAGCTCTGTGCCAGCACCTGGGGCAGAGGCCAGTATCTGTTCTATTATCTCACAACAATACAAGAAAGATTATACGTTAACATAGCTTTTATAGGTCATACAACTAGGCATTTATCAAAGCTGAGACCTTCTCTTCAAAGAGAATTTTGAAAAGTTACTGAAGCAGCTCTTGCAGACCACAGGAAGGGATGGGGTGAAGGGGAGAGGGAAGCCAGGTGGGTCGGGGCTACCTTGGTGGAGCTGCTGACCTCCCCCTCCCTGTCACACTCTGCTCTGGCCTTGGCACTCAGTGGGTCACACAGATGTCTGGCCTGGTGTGTGCTGGCCTCCCTGCTTGAAGGGAGTGTGCAGACCCCAGGGGCCCAGGATCAGGCAAAGGCTAATGTCCTGAGTGCCGTGGACAGGTGGACACTCAGAGCTGTCCAGGTGGCTGCTTCTGTCCCCTCCAGGAGGAAGGAGGGAAAGGTCAGGGCAAGTCAAGACCAGAGGAGGAAGCAGCCGTGTGGGCTTGGGTGGAGGAAAGCCTGCTCCACTGAGGAGCTGACTGGCTGGGTGGAGAGTTTGAGCTGGCCCAGACTGGGGTGGGCTGGGATGTAGGTGGAGAGTCTCCACTGCAGGTTAGAGGTCTGACTGTAGTGACGTGAGGGTGTTGATGGAAACAGGAGGTGATGGGAAGACAGGTGTGACTCATGCTCCAGGATGGACGAGACGGAAGGCACGGGCCTGGAGGTCAGACACCTGTCAGGCTGACACACAGAGAGGGTGAAGGATCTGGAGGGGCATGCTGGGGGCATCGGGTACTGGCACAGAGCCCTGCCCTTCTGTGGCTCACAAGTACGGATGTAGGTGTAACCAGTTACTTGTAAAGGGAGCACCCCCCCACCGCGGGTCAGTTTGCTTTTCTTCCATCGTCGTGTTGAAACCTGAGAATGGTCCTGAGGGTGTGTGCTGACTTGACGAGTGAAGACACTGATGCTGTGCAAGGTTTACAGTTACTTTCCTGTGGCCATGTCACTTGTGAACTGACGGGCCTCCTGGCTCCAGAGGGTAAGTCTGCAGAGGCAGGTTTGGCACCTGACAGGGGAGATGGTGGTCAGAGGAAGAGAAGTGGACTCGAGGGGTCAGGTCTGATTCGAGGCAGGAGGGGGCGATGGAGGGCAGCTCATTTTCTCTGCTCTTGCTGCTGCTTTTTTCATTGTTTAATTTTTTTCCTTTAGAATTATCTTATTAAATCATAAATGTACAACAGCTTCTTAACTCTACACACACACTTAGAATTTTTTAAAGGAAAAACATTACATCTTATTACACCGTGTTCCTGGCTAATAGCTCTTCAAAACTGAGAAAAATCTTACGGGTCTCACATGTCACCTGAAGCTTAGAAATGTAACATTATCAAAGAAGGAATGCTTCTACACTCTTACAGTGACCACCAGAAAAAAACAATTAAAAAGCTAAGAAACTGTCTTGAGACTTTTTTTTTTTAACAATCTTCCTCCACAGTAAGGTGATGTTATTAAATAATCCAGTCCGTTCACAAAGTGGCTCCCTGCATCTGCTCAGGTCTTCTGCCGCATCACTGCGTATTTATGCATGACTGAGAGAAGACTTCTTAAACTTTAGTCATGGAATTACGAAAATTCTTTCGGTGCATAAAATTGCATTTATGTATACCTTTCAGCTTTGTAGTACTCCCTATTTCCAAGAACTTCATAAATGACATTTTGAGTTTGGTGAACCTTGGGGTGGCAGGAGCCCCCTGTCTGCTCAGTGTGCCCTCTTGTTACACAGGAGTGATGCTGTTAACAGTGCAGGCAGCAGGCTTCCCATCGCTCCCATTACAATGTGCTGTTTTTTGTTTTTCCAGAAAACACTGCAAGATGAACATTCCGATGAGAAACAGCTGCGTGTTTTCAAGAGTAGTGGAGGGGTGCCTGTCCACATTTTACACAGTACCTGTGCCTGAGAATTTAATTTTTTTAAACTTGCGCTGTGTTCATTTTGTATGAAGTACCTTTAACGTTTGTATTTCATTGTCATGTCACACTTGATACTTTATGAGGTGAACTTCCCTTTTCGTTTTTCTTCCACCTTAAATAACCACTGATGTTAGAATTGATTCCCCGGGGTCAGTCAGCATGTGTCGTTAATGCTGAAGTTGATTTGGCTGGCCTGACTAACCCTGATTGATTTCTAGAACACTTGGGTCTCCCAGGGTGCTCCTGAGTGGTGGAGACGTGGACCTGACCCAGGAGAGGACGAGAGGAGCTCCCTGGTGCAGGGTCGCTTGCTCACCGGGGCGCCACGCCTGCAGCCGCTGGCGCTGCTCTGACTCAGCGTTCATTCACCTTCACGCGCATCTGCTTACCAAGCGGGACAGGAGAGAGTAATCCAATAGATACATGTTTGTACTTACAGTTTTCTTAAAAACAGGTTTTTAGCGGCGAATTTTCTAACGAGTCTGAAGTCTGAGGCTCATTCATGTTTTAAACCACTTCACAGAGAACTCGCCACAAGCCACCTTGTGGGGCGTTCCCCAGGAATAGTGGTGTACTCTGCCACAGAAAAGATCAGAGGGCCCATGCACTCCAGTTTTTCCTGTTGCAGCTAAGTCTTACCTAAACTATGAGTCAAACTGTTTTTACTCAACGAAATTTAAAAAAACAACTTTTTAAAGAAATTTAACTATTGACCTGTGCTGACCAGCCTTTTTGTATTTTTCGCTGCACGTCACTGTATGTTCTGTAACTGCAGGTGTAGGTCTGCCTCAGTGGTGGAAGCCAGGGTCCTTTGATGGGTGGCCCCGAGGCTTCAGCCCGGTGGAGCCCAAAATGCTGACCAGGTTTTCCTGAATTGGCTTTTTCTTTAACTCTCTTTTCTGAATGGTTTTCAGGCAAATTGCAGTGATAATTTTTTTATGTGCAAACCATCTAGGCTCCTTTCAGCCACTGTCAGTTCCCTCAAGTGTTACACACATTTCTCCACATACCGTGTAAGAATGAAGGACGTTTCTGGTCTGCAGTGTGGCGGTTGCCCAGCACCACCTGGGAGGCCGCACCTGGGGGGCTTCCTGTGCTCTGTGGCCTCGGCCCTTCCCTCTCCTCCCAGTGGGCCTCCCCAGGTCTCCCAGTCGTGCCTCAAGGGGCGCCAGTGCTCTCAGGTGTGAAGGTGGTCCCCAGAAAGTGACAGATGAAAGGAGACCTGGAGGGAGCAGGTGCTGGTTCCGGGTTTTCATTTTGCTGGAACAGGAGAAAGTACTTATTCCAAGGATGAGGAGGGGTTTTGTTTTGGCCAGACAAAATAGAAGATGAGATGGTCACAGTGTATTAGTTACTGCAGAAAATCACCAGGTGCTCCCCTGACTTTGCTTCTTCTCTGTTGTGTACTGTGAGTGGTCCAGAGTTAACAGATTTGGGTGCACTGTGCAGTTTTTACCAAGAAAAAGTGTTCCATATAGGGCACCTCCATGCAAGACCAATTATTCGGGTTATTTTGGCGTTTATTAACTGCTAGTAAAAGCTGTTAAAATGCAAGGCGTTTGAAAGTGGTCAGTGTAAGCCCTGTATGTAGTCAAACCACTGCATAGGGCTGGTGGGCACCTGATGGTTGCATGGTGGTGGGCAGACCTGCACTGTTACACTTGTAAGTTCCCTTTTGTTTTGCTGCCCAAATCTAAATAAGTAATTTTGCTAATACATAATTGCTCTTTTACTAAGAGAGAATCTTTACTTATAAAAATGTATTTCTAAGACTTATTTTACACAGCAATTTTGTATCCATTGAAACTAACCTTTTTATCAATAAAGCACTGTTTAGCTATTAAGTGAGTAGTCATTATTGGTTCTTTACGAGGTAAAGGTGTAAGGCCTTGTGGGAAAGATTCAAAGAAAGCCCTGCTTTTTCTGTGTATAAAAATCAGGAAGAATTTGCACCAGCAACTTTGTATTGGCAATCCCAGCCCAAAAGAGCAAGCCATAAAGATGAATTATTCAGATGAATCTGATCATCTGTTTAAAGTGAAAGAATGTCTGAAAAAAATTAGCACTAGTAAGAGTTTAGTGTTTCGAACTCACTAAGTAACAAGTGCGGGAGAAGAAAGATCTCATTCACTGTAGCAACAAGTAACATATTAGAGGAAATGAAAACCTGGCCTGGAAGCCTGACCCGGATTGCTGGCTGCCTTGCTGTGGTCTCCACCGACCGTCTGGGACCGTCAGGGCCTCTTTCCTTCCTTCTGCCTGAACTCCTGGGTAGTGACGCCCCGGCTGCCTCTAGTTCCTTCTCTCCAAGTACCCCTCGGTCAGGTCCTACCCCTGCCGCAGGCCTTCCTCCAGCGCACACCCCGCAGCTTCCACGGGTCACCTGCCGCTCTGACCAGGCTCTCCCCTGCGCAGTCCCCATTGACCCGCGCACCTGTCAGGGGCCCTGTGCTCAGGTGTGTGCGCCGCCCTGGGGGCAGCGAGAAGGCTGGCCGTGTCGCCTGGGGCCGGTTAAGAGGAAAAAGCCCCAGCGATGGGGGAACCGGAGGGCCCTGCCGATGCTCGGACCCCGAGGCTGCCCGCCGGGAAGCGCCACTTTTCTTACCTTTGGGAAACGAGGGTTGCGCACCTTGCTCAGGAGGCAGAACACTAACAGTCCCCTCCAGGACGGGTACCGGTCCATCCTGGTTTTACAACCTAGACAGCCGCGCGGGGGCGCTCCTAGACTGCCTCGAGGGGCGCGGGGACGGTGGCGGGTGCCAGGACCAAGGCAATTTGAGCAGGGTCTTTCAGGATGCGTAGGAGTTCGCTGAACCCCTCGAAGGAGAAGGGGCATGTATACCTGCGAGTCGCGGCCCTGGGAGGCTCCGATGTGGTGTCACTTTTCCATTCCTGGTTGTGGGTCACGAGGCTAGAGGAGGACTGCAAAGGCTGGGAGGGCCGTGTATCCCCCCCAGCACGACCCGGCACGCCCTGCACATCCTCGCTTGGCCCTCAGTGCCCCCAGGCCACGGCCCCGGTAGCCCCACGAGGAGCGCAAATGGGTGGCGGGGGCGGGGAGCAGGAAGACTAGTGG